CTCATCTCTGGAAGACTTGAGATGGAAAATTCTTCTGTTATTTAAACTCTTGGGTAAGTGCAAATCAGTGTTTTAAAAATCACGGGAGGTGCCTCCAGGCGACCCAAAATGCCTTAAGGCGTATGCTAGAGGTGCTGACACCTCGGAGGCGTACACCTCATATGCTTTTTTCATGAGGCATGGTAGAGGCGTACGCCTCGTGCACACCCCATGTAAAAAGATAGAAAAACAAAGAAAAAAGAAAAAAAAAAGTAAAGGAAAGGAAAGAAAGGAAAGGGACAGAACAAGAAAGAAAAGGAAAGGAAAGTGGAATGATCACCCCTTTTAACTAGTGATATGCATCTTCATTCTTCTTAATATAAAAGATTTTTACTTAAAATAAAGAAAAAATGAAATCCCTTCCTCTTCTCCCTCCTCCCTCCTCATCCCCCCTTCTCTTAAGTAGGCCTACACCTCTTTGTGTTCGGGAGGCTTACGCCTCTTACATTCTGAACTACGCCTCATACCTCTAGGTAGTGGAACGCCTCGTGTCACGCCTCCACGTTTTAAAACATTGGTGCAAATAACTTGTTTAGAGGCATTTATTACAGGTCCTGAACTCTTCTGGCATGGCACCTTTTTGGAGGACCGGCCTTTCTCCTAGATCTCCTGTGGAGTTTATACTTAAGGTTTGATGGCAGTTGTAGAAGTTCATTGAATCATAGGGGTGAAGCTGGTATTGATGGTCAAATTATTAAATCTAATGGGGACCTGATCTGGGTATTTTGTGGGCTGATTGGTGTAGCAGATGCTGCTGAAACTGAAATTCATGCCTTGTTGGTGGGCTTGAGATCTGCGATGGCTCTTAACATCACTCAGATGGTGGTGGAAGACTGGAAGGTGACCCCTAAAATGTAATCGGTTGAATGAAAAGCACTCAAGTCTAACTTGATCTGTCATTTTAGATAGATTCCAAGAGAGCTGAACTATGTGACTGATGGTTTGGCCAAGTCAGGGGTGGGGAGGGATTTTTTGCATAATGACTCCTCAATGCCTTTGTAAATTCTAGCCTTCTAGGAGGTTCTTTTTTGCCTTTTTGGGTTTTGGTCCTGTTTGGTATTGCTGTACATCTCCTCATGTATATCCTTTTTGGTTTTTCCCACCTTTTTTTGCAATGAAAGTTATCCTTTTCTGAAATAAAAAAAAAGAAAGTTTACACGATAGTCATTAATTTGGAGAAAGCATATAGTAAAGTCCCTAGACCGATAGTATGGTGGGTTTTGGAAAAGAAAGGAGAATCAATGAGGTCAACTCATATTCACTTATCTTTAATCCCAACTATTTTGGGTTGGCTACACAATCTTGTTCTCACCAACATTGGTCTTTCAGGAGTCATGTTCTCTGTCAAATTGTAAATCACTATTATCATTTTTTCCCACATCAGACCATGTTGTCTTTGGTCTTCCCTTTGCTCTTTTAGAGCATTCTACATTTCTACTTGCCCCAGGTCACATTAAAAGGGGGCATTACTTGGTATAATGGTAAAACATTGGGTTGAGAAGCATGAGAATCTGGTAATGCCAAAGGTTAGGACCATATCCATTCTACCCCTTCCAAGACACCAAAGAGCTGGCACCAACATCAGGTAATGGCCTTTTTCTTACCAAATCATATGAAAAGTGGAGTACTAATCTGGTATGTGGATCATCTAATTAAGGACATGCATGATGGAGGAACAACTAGTGTTAGAACACTTGGGGGAGGGACATCAAAGTTTCCATGGTGTTTATTGTTTTCTGATGATATAGTATTAATTGATGAAACTAGAGGAGGACTAACTGCAAAGTTAGATCTATGGAGATGTCCGGAAGCAAGAGGTTTTAAGATGGTCAGAACTGAAACAGAAATATACAATGTCAGTTAATAATAATAAGGGAAAATTTCTTAAACTACCCTTAGGGATCTTAAAGTACCCCTAAGTTTTTTGACAGTTGACTAATTACTCCCCTACCATTAGAGTTGTCACAATCCACTCACATGCCACACCACATGACTGTTATATTTTGACAAAATGACAGTAATACCCTTTCCGTTACTGGAGTTTTTCTTCTTCCTCTGTTCAGAAGGATCTCGAGACACAGAGTGTGATAGAGGGAGGCGCATAGCCCCAAAGAAGAGAGTAGGACTACGGAGAGAAAAGAGCAAAATAAATAGAAAGGGTGACGTCTGAACTCTGAACTGGAGTTTTCCCGAATTTTCAAGGGTGTGTGAGATAGAAAGTTCCGTTTAAGCTCAGAAGTCAGAAGATAAAACACAAGAAATTTCTTCATCGTATAAGAGACTACTGATAGTTCTCCCCTAAACTCCTAAATTAATTTGCTTCGACCAAATTTAGCGGAATCTCAGCTGAGAAGATATCAGGGAAAAGTCTTCTTCTTTAATGTGTGGCCATGTCTGCAGAGGTGGGTGCTGCTTCAGCTGAAGAAAACAATATCAGAGGAATACTCATGGAGGTCGATATATTCAGTACAATGTTGATGGGAATCTTTTAAGGTCCCTACTAAGTTATGTTCTGCCAATATGGCCTGTCGGAAGAGGTGCTTTTGGCATTGTCTGGTATGTTATCTCCATTCTTGTTTCATCTGTTATGCCCCTGATTGCAGAGACTTATCTCTATCTTTGTTTTGGCGCAACACTCTCAGTCTCTCTCCCTCTCTCACTCTCAGAGTCTTCTTCCATTGGCTTTGTCGTTCAGCTGGGTTCTGTCAAGCGTCAGCTGTGGTTCAGCTGGCTTACTGGAAAATTCCCATTTTTCTTTTTCCGAAATCTGAGGTTCAGTCGCATGTGATAAAATATCATCTCAGCAAAAGATCTGCAACATACAAAGGGCTTTGGAAATCAGAACTTTTCTACACTTGGAGCTTCAAAGCAAAATAATTTAGATACATCTCTTTCATCTGTCACTCATTCCTTGGTGATACTTCCTATTCGTAATCTTCTCACTTTTCCAACTCCAAGCCCAAGAAAAACACATAGAAAACCATGAACCTAAACCTTCCTAATTTTCCTCATCACTGTCTCAGGTGATTTATGATCATTATCGGAATCAAAAGACAATTTCATCGGAATAAAAACAAGGGTAGAATAACCCAAAAAGAAAATTAGGAAAAAAAAAGTGAACACAGATTGCAAACCCCGAAATCCGATGTTTCACTCTATTCATTTGGGATTCCCTTGCTGCATCCCTTCCTCATGCCCAATGATCTTCTTAATTGGGTCAATTCCTCATGCCCAACCGTCGGATGTGACTTCCGGTAGTTGTTTGGCGAGTGTGGAGCAAATTACAGTATTTGAAAATTTTCATCAGTTGGGTTTTGTTTTGAAAATTTGAGGAATAGTGGAGGGAAAATTGGACATTTCATTTTTTCTGTTAGTACTTAACGACGATATCAATTGTCAGGAAACTTAGGGGGTACTTCAGGACAATATGTAAACAGTAAGGATAGAGTTAGTCAATTAGCTAAACCACAAGGGTAGTTTAAGAAATTTTCCCTAATAATAAAGAGCGTGAGGTACAACTAAGATTGGAGACCAAGAGATACCTCAATACAACATCTTATTTTATTACCTTGGTTTGATAATTTATAACGAGAAAGAGAATAAGGAGGATGCCTCCCAAAGAATCAGAGTGAGATGAGCAAAATGGAAGGGAGCATTTTAAATCCTATTTGATAGGAGAATGCCACTTGGGCTAGAAGGGAATTTTTTTTTGATAAATGGCTAGAAGGGAAATTTTAGAAAGGGACTTTGAGGCCAGCAACATTGTATGGAGCAGAGTGTAGGGCAGTTAAGAAGCAATATCTTCAAAAGATGAGTGTACAGAGACGTGCATGTTGAGATGGATGAGCAGGAAAACCTGTGGAAATAGGATAAAAATGAGCATATCTATTGGAAATCTAGGTGTGGCCTTTGTAGGTGAAAAATGAGGGAAGGAAGAGATGGTTGGGTCATGTATAGAGAAAACCCTCTATAACACCAGTAAGATGTAGTGACCTCTTGCAAATTGAAGGGTCTAGAAGAGGTAGGGGCAGACTAAGGACATGGGTTAAAATGGTAAGAAAAATTTTCTTCCTGGCTGAGGTTAAGAGGAAGTAAGAAAGCAAGGTTGCTCTGGAGCTATATCCCATTTGCAATTTGCTGGAATATATGGATGGAAAGAAATAGAAGAGTATTTGAAGACAAAATGCTGGAATCTGGACAAGATTGTGGCAGCTGTTAGCAACTCGGTCGTAGATTGGGTTCTGGTCACTCCAGAATTTAAACAAGTTTCCAGAGAACTGGGTGACCAATTAGGAGATATTTTGGGGCTTCAACTTCGTAACTTGGATGGTTTTTTTCAGTAATGTTCCCTAGCAGTTTTATTGGTCTTGTATGCGGGTGGTGCCTTATAACCTCTAGACTGTAATCTTGTTTTTTTTCTTTTAATGAAATTTCATTTTTCCATAAAAAAATAGTAAGAAATGATTTGAGGACCCATAGCTTAACAATGTATACCACACTGAATAGAACAGAATGGTGGAACAAGATTAATGTACAGATCCTACATAGCTAGGACAAGGTTCTATTGAGTTCAGCTAGTGAGGCCATGTGTCACATAGGATCAAAGTTTAGAACTTGCAGCAAGCCTCACAAATAAGCTAGCAAATATAAGTGGATCTAGTCTTTTAAGAATCTCAAGGGAGTTGGTCTTCTTATGTTGTGTTTCTGATGTCTGAATATTCTTGTGAAGTTTCTCAACTAGTTTGCTATTTTGCTTTTCTTGATAATCTTGAAAGGACCCACCATTGTGTTTAATGCAATAATTCTAAACATTTCTTTTATTCCCTAATCTGATTACTTTCTCTCTTAGATTTATTAATTGGATTTGGTTTTAGTTTCTGGTAACATTGTTGGCCTTATCTATTTTATTTTATGTTTTCCATTTTCAAACCTTTTTATGTGGGAATGTCGAACGAGAACAGGTTATTGCAGGTGTTATGCACTTGCTTAATCTGCGAATTCCTCCATATGTTCGAGTTGATCTTCTCCAGATCAGCCTCTCACAATTCTCTAGAAGTACAGGTAATCATTTGTTGCTTTTGTACATTAGTCGTTGATTATTTTAATCTACATAAAGTCAAGTACATATATATGCATACTATCTAGGACATGGCTTTTTGGACAAACCATGTTGGATGATACTTTGTACATCAATCAAATTGTTATACCATTTGATGATTAATATTCTCTCATTTCTGCTTAGTCTTTTAACATTCTGAACAACCATTTTAGAGTAGCATCTTTGTATAGTAAAGGTCATCAAATCTGGCTGATTTTTGGGCAAACTCTTTGAGCAGATGTCTAACTTCAAGGTGAACTTTGATAAGAGTTGTGTGGTGGGGGTGAATGTGGAGAGGGAGTTAAGGAATTATGCAGGTGTATTAGGTTGTGCTATCTCAAATTGGCCTTTGACATACTTGGGCCTTCCCTTAGGAGATAATCCTAAGAAAAAGCTTTTGGACTCCAGTAGTGGAGAGATTTGAGAAGAGGCTTGCGTCCTGGAAGAGAAGTTATCTTTCCTTAGGTGGGAGAGTCACTTTGATTAGGTCTACTCTAGCTAACCTACGTGTTTACTATTTGTCAGTGTTTAAGATCCCTACTAAGGTCTCCAACATATTGGAAAAATTAATGAGGAGTTTTCTATGAGAGCCTGGAGAGGAGAAGAGAGATTATAGGGTGAGATGGGAGGTGGTAATTAGATGTAAAAAACTAGGAGGCTTTGGGATTGGAAACATCAAGAAAAGGAATATGGCATTGTTGGGAAAATGGCTGTGGAGGTTTATAGTGGAAAAGGAAAAATTGTGGACAAAGATCGTGGCTAGCATACATGGGCTAGAAGACAACGACTAGGATTCTGGAATTGTGGCAAGGGCTACAACTGCTTCTCCGTGGAAATCCATCCATGATCTTTTCTAGCTTTCCCCCCTTGGATCAGGTACAATATTAACTCTGGTAATCGAATAAAATTATGGGAACATCTTTGGGTTGGGGTTTCACCTTTGAAGGACCAGTTTCCCTCCCTGTATGCTTTGTCAGATTTGAAAAATGAACCTATCTCTTATTTTTTAGGTCTATCAGACTCCACTTTTGGTTTTGGGTGGAATCTTGGCCTGCGAAGGACAATTAGGGATACTGACTTGGACAACCTCTTAACTTTGTTAGCCATCATCGAGAATATTTTCCTAGATCCCAATAGGGAGGGCACCAGAATTTGGAACCTTCTCTTGTGTTTCGTTTTTTGAAACATTAACTCAGTCATCTGTCCCTCCTGGTTTGTCCTTTTCGACCAAGGAAATTTGGAGCAAGCCCATTCCTCCTTGGGTTGGTTTTTTTTGTTAGGAAATTTTCTTGGAAAGAATAAACACAAATGATGTACTTTAGAAAAAGAGACCCAATTATTGTTTACTTCCTAATAGATGTTCTCTTTGTAAAGATGATGGGGAATCCGGTTACCACCTTATGGTTGGTTTCTTGTAAGGGTACTAAAACTATTTGGGAGTGGGTACTTTCCCGTTTTGGGTGTTCTTGGAACCCTCCTAAGAGTGTCCGAAGTTTGTTCTCTCCTTTGTTTATTAGATGGCCTAAGAAGTGAGGGAAGATGATGTGGAGGAGTATTAGGGCAGTCGTGTGTTGGTCATTGTAGGAGGAAAGAAATTCTCGAATTTTTTCAGATAAGGAAAGATCCCTGGAAGACCTATTAGACCTAATACTTCTAAGGGCTGCCCACTGGCTAAAAACTACGGAACTGTTTTTAGACTTTCCTATAGCTGAGCTGTTAAGAAATTGGAAAGAGATAGCAACCTCTACTCTGTGCAGGAGGGCTCTTAGCCCCTCGTGGTCCCCGCCTCCCTTTGGATTTATAAAATTGAACTTTGATGGAAGTAGCCTAAGGAATCCAAGGCCCTCTGGGATTGGAGGAGTTTTTAGGAATGAGGAAGGGATTGTTATTGCTTTGTTCTCAGGCCCTATTGGAGAAGGAGACTCTCTTAGGGCTGAGATCTTTGCAGCTATGGAAGGAGTTCAAAGAGCAATGGAACTAAATATCAGTCGACTGATATTGGAAGGCGATTCAAAGGTGGTGATTAGCTGGTTAAAGAAAGAGGATAGTGGTTTGTGGAGCTACAATAATGAAAAGAAAAAATTTTATGGCTGTGTAGGGGCACTGAGATACAATACAGTTGGGTGAAGAGGACCGCTAATTCTTTTGCAGATGGGTTGGCCAAGCAAGGGGTGAATAGGGAGTCTATATTTTGGGCTAATTTTTAATTTCCTTTCATTGTAATTTGTTGATGGGGAGCTAAGACTTTTTATCTCCCCCTTATTGTATCTAAAGCTTCATAAATTTTCTCCTAATTAATAAAGTTTCTGTTATTGATAAAAAAAAAAGATATATAAGGAAAACAATATTTGAATCTTCTGGATTTGCTATTTTAATTTCACAAAGTTGACAGTTCAAGTGAGGAATTTTTTTAATCTTATATTGCTCAAAACACAACTGTAACTGAAAAAACACTCTGAACTCTTAATACCAAATCTCCTGGGAGAGTAGATCCCAATGCAAATAACTCCACCTAAGCCCTGGCAAATCCATCAGCTAAAAAGCTAGCCAATCCTAGAACCCATCTAAATGAATGCTTATTTTGGATGCAAATGCTATAGCCTCTCCAATGTGTTTATGTAGTAAAATGGGCCTTAGAGCCCTCACTTATTCTACTACTGCTGCAATAAATCCCGGTGACATCACCAATCCAAGTTCCTGCAAAAGTTTCAAGAATTGAGTGTCTCAATTTTGTTGGGCTTGTTCAACTAGGATAGCCTCTCCTTCATGCAGGAAAAAATTAGTCCTTTGTTCTCAATCCATTTATCTAACTGTACACCCAGTGCTTGTATTGTTTTAGGGTGATTCTGCTGATCCTTTCCATCAATCAAATTGTAGATCTAATGCTTTATTAGAGTTGATTGTTCTCCACCATCTCCTTTTTTTAGGGCCCTCTTCTCTATGGATTGTCTTCATGTGAAGCAATCCAAACCCCTTCATAAATTCTACATGAAAGTTGGGGAAAATACTGGTTTGTGTTTGGAAAGCAGCATCAATCCGATAAGTGTAGGTGACACCAATAGGGCATCATGGTTGTGGTGAACCACAGAAGCTCAAGTAGTAGAGCTTTGATACCGTGTTGTAATTCTGAGTTGGTAATTACAAAAGAAAGTAAAAGTAAAATAAGAAAGGAAAAGAAGAAGAAAAGAAACATAAGGAAAGATGCTCCAAAGATGTGGATGTCCAAATCTTTGGAAACATAGTGCAGTGATAACACTATCTGGCCTGAAAGGAATAGATGGTTGTTCCAAAATGTCTCCGGAGTTTTGGATGTTTTAATTTCTTTCACCTTTGGCAAGCTGGTTTCTTAGGTTTCGGTTGCGAAAGGTTTTCATACCTCAGGCTTAGGGGCTTTGTTGAGGCAAGGAGCTTATCTGAATTGTAATCTTGTATGGGGGTGGGGGGGGCTAAATCCTGCTCAAGGGGCTCCCCTTGGGGGTTCTGTTGTACTTCTTTTTTTTTTTTCTCTAAAGTCTAATAAAATTACATTACCTTTTCTTAAAAAAGCAAACATAAGAGAGATGCTGGTTTGGGAGAACCTTAGGATTCTATTCCATTTGGATCAGATATCTATCAGCTACTGAATCTGGTTAATTGCTACCTAGATTTTTGTCCAAATTTTCTTTTGTAGTGAAGAGCAGAGACTTAAAGCTTATCTTATCAAGATAAAAAGATCAAATTCAATGAAAGAGTGTTTCTTCCATGGCTGGAGAAATCTTGTGGACAGAAACAACTAAAACCTGCTATGCAAAGGTAATATTCCATGGCAGTAGGACTGTAATGGGTCAGGTTTGGATTGGATCTACCTAGATATGAATCCAACCTTTAATGTGTTAAATCCTGTCCATATTTTGATTGGACCTGGATTGGGTTTGGATATCATATTATCATAATTTAACAATAAACAACCAAAACATTGTATGCTATTATAAAATGGATTATATATTACACATAATTAATGTAATAAATATAAATAATTTCCACGAGACTTAACTTCTGATCCTTTAGAGAAAATATACCAAGTAAACCCACTTCATTAGTTCATTAATGAACATCTGTGAATTTTATATAGACATGCACATGCATACAACTAATATTGGACTCGGATCTTAATTGGATTGGATTGGGGTGGATCCAGATTTGGCGTGATTATATGTGGATCTGATTTTTGAGATCCAAATCTGGTTTAATCAAATTGGATTTCAAATTTGGGTTTGGATAGTCAGATATTGTTTACAGCCCTACGTACCAAAGTCATCCCTTCTACCTGGACCAACTGTTTCTCTCCCTCTTATTATTGTTTTATCATTCCAGTTCCACTATATGATATATGTCAGCTGACCCACAACTAACACTTGATGAAACATCTAATTGTTATTTGCTCAACTTGGTTATTGCTTTCTCACTCTGTTCTTTTGCTTGTCATGTAGAGGAAAGATATGTCAAATGGACATTGAGAATATCTAGTGTACATGGACAGAAAGCTCCATTGCCATTCCTTGAATCAGTCGAGGTAAAAATGTTCTTAGATATTCTTGCAGTTATTCTCCTACGAATAATATGAATATTTCTTACTAGTGTTTTTTCTTTAGGTCTTTAATGCTTGTTTCTTTGAAACAGTTTATAGTGCAAATATTTTGTTAAATCTTCAAGAATGGAATAGTGCACTAACAAGTAACAAGCTGTCATAAGTTGTCTTGCTCCCTCAGAAATTGCTATTTGCTACAGCAACTTTACATATTGGTTGACATAGTACATAAGGTCTTCTGGTATCCAGTTAAATGAGAGAATCCTTCAGATATTTGGTCTAATGTTCCTGACCATTGCAGGGGTTTGATCATTGTAATGTTTCTGTATTGTTAGTTACTTTGAATGATCAGTGTTGGAGCAGGGTTTAGAACACTTGTTATATTTTATACTCATGAGCCTCTATTACCTTGTAGCTTTGTTGGCTCCTCTACTTGAACTTAATCCTTATCTTTTTGCAATCCAGATTTCTTTTTCAGATAGGCCAGACTTAAAGACTGCCATTCTTCATAAGCAACCATTTCAGCTAAAAAGGTACCTCCAATTGGTTCAATATGTAATGTCATCTTGAATAAAGGTTAACAAACTACTGTTCATTTGTTTTACATTTTGAGAAGCACTGATGCATGGATGTGTATACATATGACTTCTATTGCACATAGCCGTTCTATATATGTTATCCACCATCTTATAAAGCCCATTAGGATATATGGACGAGAAATTGGTAATCATGTAATCTTCAACATCTGACATATTATCTGGAATTCTGGATATTTAACCTTGTTTTCTGATCCCTTCAGTAGGATGTAACAATGGTTAAGATAAAGGAGGGGTGTGGTTCTGGGTCTGTCTTCCTTATTTCTTTTGTTTTGGTGATGTCTTATCACTTACCTTTGTATGACTCAGTTAAATCTAGGAATAACCTAAATCTATTGGGGGGGGGGGGATTCCCATCCCTCAATGTTTGTTTTTTGAGTACTGCATAGTAGGTCAGATTCCTGACATGTATTCCTTGCGCATATGTTTTTAATATTCTTCTTGTTTGTTTTTATACCAGGGAGATGGTGAAGACAAGACCATTGATATTGGTGTTGAAGCTAAACTTTGGGGATGGCTGTGGTTGTCCAAGCACTAAGATTGAGTTCCCGGTTGACTTTGAGGTTAGATGTTAATGCATATTTAATTATGGACTTTATGGTTAGAAATTTTATTTACTAATTGAAGTTAATGTGAAAGAAACTAGCTGGCTAATATGCACAATAATCTTTTTCCCATTCTCCCTCTTACCTCAAGTGGTCTGCAACCAGGTGGTTATTGTTCATATTCATTTTTTTTTTGGAAGAGTAAAATGCAAAAAAATTATAGATATAAAAGAAAACGAGATACAACCCGACCAAGGGTGTTAAGATTACACCTGAAACATGAGATCAAGACACAAAAACTAATAAAAGAAATCAAGGGACTCCACGTAATGCATAATGTCTAGTCTTCAGGATCAAATGCCTCATCACATATGTCATCATCCTCATCCCAAATTAAATCCTGTTTCCGTCGAAGCTTCTTCTTCTCTTTCTCTTCCTTTTTCCCTTTTTCAAATACTTCGAAAGCTCTTCTAGATAACTTTTCACCTCCCCGAAAGAAAAGCCCTAAAGTCTTGCCAATTCTAGCTTCCCTGTCCACCAAATTCTTAAGTTCCACTTTTCCCCCCTCAATTTTATCAGCATGTTGAGACAAAACTAAACTACTCTCATCCACTTGGCTTCCTCCTCATCCCCTGACCCCTTCTGACCTCTAGATATTCCCTTATCAAGGAGATGTAACCTCCTCTCCTATAGCTTGAACCTCCTCCTCCCTCCTTTCATCACCTTTCTTCGATTCCACAACTTTTAATTTCTTCCAGCCTTGAAAAAACCTTTGACACGTGGGCGAAGTGAGTGCTATTTGCCTCCTTGGCTTTCTTCATCCCTTCTGAAGTTCAAGGTCTCCTTCCTTGTGAAAACGTCTTCTCCGACCTAAATGGACTCCAAAGCCGAGCCAGAATTGTCATCCTTGCTCAGAGCTTCTTTTGCACCCTCAGCACAGCGTCCCTTGACATCAATCCCTTCCTCTTCATCCCTGCCTATCACTTCTTGCTTGTCCTCCCCTTCCCCCCTTCCTGGCCCCTTCACCACTTCCCCAGAAACTACCTCCCTTCCCTCCGACTGAATTTCCGAGCAAACTACCCCTCAGTTCTCCTTTTCCAAACTTCTTTGATGTGACGATAAGGAAGAGAAGAAGAGGAAGGAAGCTCGACTTCGAAATCACCAAAACACAGAACAATACCGGCTTGCTGACCAGAACTCGACTTCTGAATCCTCCCTTCCCCTGGATCAGGCCCTTCAGTTGTGCTTCCACTTGGATCTGTCTCCTCCCGGTTCTTATGCACAATCCATTTTCGCAGATCTTCAGACTGAAACACACACCCAGCTCTTTGGAACTGCTTAAATTTTCTCTTTCAAAACCCCCAGCCTGAGACGAGGAGTCTTTGAAGTCTCCCCAGCTTTCTTGACTGCACTGTCTTTCGAAACTCGAACCTCATTCGAGCCCTCACCTTCTTTACCTCCCTGAGACGCCTCTTCGTCTTCTGACAGTCCTGATTCCGCTCTCTCTTTTAACTCTCCTCTCCCCTGACAAGCTGACAGGTGCAACCATTTCATATTCATCTTACTGATCATAATGAAACATTTAAGGAAAGAGAAGAAACAGAAAAGCTGACAGGTGCAACTGTTAAAATGCCTGACAAGTATTAAGAATGTCATTTACTTTCATTATAAGCAAAAAAGAAAATATCACTTTGGATAACTATAACCATTCGTCTACTTTGGGTTTCCTTTTGCTTTTCTGTGTTGTCGGGGGTTTGCCCCACATTGGACCCAAATGTGCACCATAGCTGTTGGGTGACAATACTTCTATCTTCATTCTAATTGTCCATACCAACTTCATCCCATTATAGTGTAGTCCAAGTTGTCAGTTATCCCACTAACTACAGATTTATCATATAGCACCTTACCCGCCCATATAAGGGACCAAAACCTCATTGTAAATTTGCAATAACCCCAGAAAATACCTTTCTTGGTAGAAAAATACTAACCACGTTAAACTCCAGTAATTGTACCACCTTAATAGCATATAAAACAAGTGTCCTGGTTGTGAAGTGTATCCTTAATCTTCATATGGTGCAGATTGTGACAGATGGCTTCAATTATGACAAGGATGTCATCTTACAGAAGCTGAACGACAGAGCAATCCAAGAGGGATGCTGTGGGCAATATGCATCCATAGAGAGGAAGATCCTTACAACCCCGAGAAGTGAGGTCACAGTCTATGCCATTGCAACCAATATAGTCAGTTATGACAATCTTCTGGGAACCTCTAAAGCATCTGAAATCGTTCCTCAGAGTGGTGGCTATATGGTGAAAAGGCTCAATGAGGACACTAATGGGGTTGAAACATCCCTGAAGAGACCAAAGGGGTGTTAACTGTCATTTCTTTTCCTATTATGTGCCTTTTTTTCTTGGTCTATACTACTATAAGTAGAGGAGAGGATCCAGATTGTATAGATATTCTAGTTGTAGTACTTACAGGCAGGCATATATGTTTAGGGACTGAGTGAATTTTGTGTAACCACACTCAGTCTCCCCAACAGTGGATATGTAGAAGGGGAAGGGGACATGGCTGCCATGGCCCAGTTTTGTAAATTCTCAACAGCTTTGAAAACCGTCTTAGTGGAAAAAGGATTCTGGAATAGGTAGTTTTTGGGGGTTCCTTGCCATTCTTCTTTTGTGTATAAATGTAAACAGCTTTAGATGGATTCCTTGATATTCTCGAAACCTCCCATCTTATAAGGAGTAAATGGTGCACAAAGATTATATAATATGCTAACGTGGCCTTTACAGGTAACGCCTAAATAGATGACATGCTGCAAATGCTCTCCAACTGTGACTGTTGAAGGTGAACAACTGGTAGGCTTGAGATTGCAACCCCCTGGACAACAAAGACATCGGGTTATGCTAGCAATTAATTGAGAACAATCAAAGAGATGGCACTATGTTAAAGTCATGTGTCCTCCCTCTATCAGCGGCATTTATGTTCTGGGGATTACTAAACTGACTGCCCTGCCCCTCCTGGCCTTTGCTGCCCATATGGTTATTTGAGAACAACCAATCAAAGACATGATGGAAAACAATGGCCTTCCCACTCCCAAGTCCAAATTGGTACATGCCTACATGGCTGAGGCATATTCTGCCTGACTGTTTAACATTGCTCATGCTCCATCAAAGCAGGAAACTATTCACATTAAATGACATTTTCTATTGATTTGAGATCTCAATCTAATAAAAGAATTTTGTCATTCTTTTTTCCCTTTTTCTATTATTTATTTGGATGTCCTGATTAGGAGTCGTCCAAGAACCCTAGCTTTTCTTTGTCTTACCTTGGTTGATCAGATGCTATGTTCGCAATCTATGACTAAGAAATCCCATCTACTTGATCAATGCCCTAGATTTTTTATTTTTTATTTTTGATGGTAAAGGAGGTTAAAGTAGCTGGTGAATTATTTAGTCTGAAAAGCAAATAGTGCTACACTACAGGTGGCTTGCTTGTCCCCCTAAGCCTCCAACCCTGGTAAATGTGGGAATTGATTTCAAGATTTGGCCACATCCAGCTAGACCTTATCAGCTGGGGTTTGGCACATTGTCCTTCAAACATGTTGCTAGACCCAAGTCACCCAACGCCCGAAGTGGGAAGTATTGTTATCGGCTTATCCCAATAATATTAAACTCAAGGCTCAAATAGCCGTATCCCAAATTCCCAATGTAATTCAACCTTGAAAATGGTAGTGGAGTTAAAAGTAGATGTTCGGTTCCGTTGGGAGTTTTTTAGGGAGGCGTTTATCAGATAAATGTTTATTCGATAAACACTACTTTAAACGCTTTTTCTTTTCGTTATTTGGTTGGGCTGATTTGTGGGCGTTTCAAGAAATGATGTTTAAAGGCACTTGCCAACTCAGCGATGAGAAACATTTCCTACTTTGTGCTGTTTGGAAGGGCGTTTCAAGAAGTGAGCCATATGGGTGATTCGGTGTGGCACCTCTTCTTGAGTTGAGTGCCATATTTTGAAATCTAATGGTCCAAACTACCCTTTGTGCATATTTTGAAATCCAAGGGTTGATTTTGGATGAAAATCACATCCGACGGCCAAAATGATAGGTATAGAGGATCATTATGAGCCGATGGTCGAAAATACCCTTTGCGCATCCAATGTATATATGGTATATCCTAATAACAATTTTCGGAGTCATTTTACTTGTTACTATACATCTATCTTAATGCATTTTACTTCTTACTACCCTTTGCGCATTCAATGCTATATGAATTCAACGAATACCAAGCTTCCAAAATTTGTCATTCACATGTTAGAATTGGAAAGAATTCAACAAATTGGCATACATTTGACTCGCACAAGATATGGAAATTTCTTCCATCACATGTACAGATTCACCAAATTTGTTAATCATCTGGTTTTGTACAGATTCACCAAACTAGCTTCACGTTGATCAGCTTAAATTGATTGATGCACCATTCAAAGGAGTAGTTAGTTGTAGCCCATGTCCTCTTCAATTCTCATCTTTTAGCTTTACCACTTGTTTCTGTACCCGAAGCGGTTGCAATGGACTCTTAGAAATGAAAAAGAAAGAAGACGACAGAGTTAACATCATATTAAAGCAAAGGAAAGTTCACCGGATGATCGACTTTCAGAGGAAGGGGTAGGTATGACATACCGTTCAGATCGGGAAATAAACAACAACGAAGCACCTTCCCGGTGTATGCAACAGCAACACCTCGCTGGATTAGGGCTGCCAGAAAAAAAAAAAAAAGTCGCAATGGTCAGTATGAAACATACGACTGGCGTCGAGGAGAGGGATTTGTAGCAGTCTATGACAAACTTACTGGTGACTAGACCTGTTCATGGGCCGGGTGGCCTGACGGGCCGGGCTGGGCCATAGACGGGCTTGAACACGCAAATGAGCCCACAGACTTGACCTCGGGCCAAAAAGTCTGGCCCACAATAAATTCGAGCCGGGCTTGGGATTTGCCAAAACAGCCCGGCCCATCCCGACTTATAGACTAAACCCCAAAACCCTAATATCTAAGTAACCCTTCTCATTCATCTCTTTCCACTTTTCCGGTTAGCCGAGCTGCCCAGTGCCCATTGCCAAACCTCTCTTCTCTTCACATCCTCCTCACACTCTCAAGCAACCGTAGAACTGGTGAGCATTTACCGGTGCAACAACTCCGGCAGACCGGTGGTGAGTCCTCTCTCTCTCTCTCTCTCTCTCTCTCTTTCTCTCTCACATTCCCCTTCTCACTTCTTCTCTTTCAAATCTCAGACACTAGCGAGGCGGCGAACACAGGCATTGGCGCCGGTGGTGAATCCTCTCTCTCTCTCTCTCTCTCTCTCTCACACACACACACACACACAGACGTGAACTGACTCCACTTTTCACTGTTAAAATCGCATCTCACCGCGAACTGAGCACCGGCAGTGGCAGTGAATCCTCTCTCTCTCTCTCTCACACATACACACACAGAGACGCGAACTCAACACCGACAAACAGTCACCGACGATGAGATCTTTCTTCTGTTAGGTTGGGCTTTGGGCTTTTTATTAGGGCCGGGCTCGGGCTTGGGCTCGGGCCTAACTAAATCATGTTTATGAAGAGTAAAACCCGGTCAGAGCCTGGCTCGGCCCGACCCATGAACAGGTCTACTGGTGACACACCCTCTCTAGTTAGCGTGAGAAGAAAATCTCCCTGCGCAAGTCCCTCTCTATGGCTATCCTTGCGAAAAGTCCCTCATGCATAGTGGTAAGGGTTTGGGGCATGGGGGTTTTCTTCGCAGTTTCAGTGATCCGCGAAACACCAAATATCTCTCCCTTAATTGCCACATTGCCGATATAGAAGCGTATCGACCATGGTTTCGACTAATGACGCATTTGCTCAATGATTCACATTTGCAAATGTTTTGGTGTGAAGTCATCAATGGACTTTTACATCAATGACGTTTTACATCGCTTACAAGCACAACCTTAGGTTCAAATTGTAGTATTTAGCATGTCACTAGGTCTCATGCTAGCATACTATTTTTTTTTTTCAATTTGAGTTAGAGAATTAATCATGGTTCCCAAAACCGGACCAGACTGGATGGTCGGACCAGAAAACCGAGAACCAATCACCTGACCGGTTTTGTTTTTCCCCATAACTGCTTTTTTCCCCAAAACCGTTGATTTTGGTCAGCAAATTGCTGAACCGGCAAGGTTAACCATTCAAACCGTTCGAACGGTTTTGACCATTTTTCAAATTTTTAAATATTTTTGTCAGAACGGGCCAGCCGTTCAGGTCGAACAATCAGATCGTTCGACCCGGTAATTGGACCCTGATTGGTTTAGTCGTTGGGTCAGTTTTAAAAACCATGAAATTAATAGATGTAGTTGATAACAAGGATTAAAACATTGACATGATATGCCTGATATGGGGCGTATCATATCAATACTAGGTTGCACTGATACGGGATACGTTACGATTGCATGTGTATCTTGCCAGTCATAGCGTATCGGTCCGATACACCACCATATCGGTGTGTATCGCATAGTATCGATCGATACAAAAGCGTATCGACTAATGAGGCAACATCTTACAATAAAAAAATGAGAGCATCGCGACTTAAACCTACATTGTTCAATACGCGCCCAATGCTTAGGTGCGCATTTAACCACAAAGCGATTTGTTATTTCATGTTAGTAAATGTAATAAATTAACTTTTAGTAAACTTATTGTTTACATGCAAACAAAAAACAACATACATTTATTTTCAAAAACTTCAACTATATATTAAAATGAACAATATTCAAAAATAGTATTTTATAAATAAATGAAATAAATTATTTATAAAATCCACATATATATAAAAAATAACTTTAATTTTAAAAATTTATAGAAATAAAATATTTATAATAGAATAATTATTTTATTAAATTTTATAAATTTTCACATGGTACATATCTTAAATTTTTATAAATTATTAATTAATAATTTAATTTACATTAAATAACAATGTATTTATTATTTACAAAAATAAAAGTATTGTTCACAAAGTATTTGAAAATATAATATAAATTGAATATATCAAATCCATTAATCTACATTTTATATGGAAAATAATTTTTAACTTCAAAATTTTATACAAATAAAATATTAATAATGGAATAATTATTTTAGTAATTAAAATTTATGAATTCTCATATGATAAGCATTTTCAAAATTTTAATAGATTTGATATATTTTAACTTATGATTATATATTTTTATAAATTATTAATCGATATTTTAATTTACATTTTATAATAACATATTTATTTTTTACAAAAATATAAATATTATTTATCAAACATTTAAGAATTAATTTTTAGTTGAATTTTTTGTTAATGTTAAAAAATAAAAATAGAAAAATAGAAAAATGATATAATAATTCAAATATAATAGTTGCATTAGCTTTATGCCTTACACTTTAATAGATAATAAAATAATATTGGCTTTTTGCATATATTAATTTGTAAAAATCTATATAATATTTGTCTGGGACTCTTGATTGATGCATTATTAATAAAATCGTACAATATCTACATGTCTTGGTATATTAATTATAATATATTTCTTCATATGTGTGTGTGTGTGTGTGTATATATATATATATTATTTAAATAAACAATTCCTATGTATTTATATATTATTTATAATTGTTTTGACATTAAACTTAATGCTATTA